TGTGGGAAGCTCTGAAGGTTTTGAACCAATAGAAGTCCTGTGTGAAGACCCCAGGACCATTGATTATGGTGAAACTCTGACTCTGCCACTTTCCAGCTTGGACAAGTTCTGTTAGCTCTGTGGATGAAAAATGTTGCCTGCCATATCAGCAAAGGATGCTGCGGCCATCAAGCCATCAGACACAACAGCTGCTCTTATGGTGAGCTCTGAGGGAACTCAGGATGGAGACAAACAGGTTGTCCACTGCCAAGCCCTCAGCCGCTGCAGCCACCCCCAACAGTGCACCCAGAGGGAACGCAGGATGGGAAAGAACAGGATGCAGGCATTAGGTAGCCAAGGTGCATATCAAAGAGCCCACACTCTTGCATCTTCCCATACAAAGAAAAGAGCTAAATTCATTAACTTGAGATATCTGGTTTTCTTTATAGTAATCTTTTGATGCTCTGACGACCTGGTTAGACTGCAAAACTCCTGTACATCTTGCCTCTTCCCTTACCTCTTTGGAACAGTTCTTCAGAGCGATCTGAGAGGCTGTCTTCTGGGTTTAGGTCCTCAGAAAATCTGTCAAATAAAACATAATTCTCAACATTTAGGTTTTGCATTTTTTCAATCAGTCGACAGCTAGCTGTGCTTAGTTTCCTCATTTGGGAAAAAAATCGCACCTCTTCTATTTCCCCAACTCACGCCAACATTTAAAAAATAATAACAGCTCATAGGTACAAGCCTTACTCTGCATGAGGCACAGTTCTAAGTTTTAATCCATTTAAATCCATATATTTTAATCCACTTACAGCCATATAAATTTTAATCCATTTAATCTTCACAGAAAATACAAGATACATTTATTATCATTCCTGTTTTACAGAAAGGAACTTGAGATACAATTAGGTCAAGTTAGATCTTAAAGGACGCACATTTGGAAGTAGCAAAGCCAGCTTTCAAGGCCAGGCAAGCTGCCCCAGTCTGTGTTCTTCTGTCAGCAAATGTTCCTCCAAACTGTCCTAAAACATGGGGCTGACGCGGTCCAAAGGGAAGGCTATTCCAAGTCCCCATCCTGTGGAGCTCTGAGAGTCTGATATGCATTTCATGACAGTTGCTTCTTCCTTTTTCTTTTTGAAGTATAATTGATTTACAATATTAAATTAGTTTCAGGTGTACAACATAATGATTCAATATTTTTATAGATTATGTTCTACTTGAAGTTATTACAAAATAATGACTACATTGTCCTGGGCTGTACAATACATCCTTGATGCTTATTGACTTTGTACACAGTGGTTTGTGTCTCTTGGTCCCCAACCCCTATCTTGTCCCTCCTCCTTCCCTCACCCTACTGGTAGCCACTGGTTTGCTCTCTATATCTCTGAGTCTGTTTCTGTTTTGTTATGTATATGTTCATTTGTTTTATTTTTTAGATTCCACATATAGGTGATAACAGAGTATTTTTCTTTCTCTGTCTGACTTATTTCACCAAGCATAATATTCCCTAGGTCTGTCCACATTGTGACAAATGGCAGAATTTCATTCTTTGTTATTGCTGAGTAGTATTCCATTGTGTGTGTATATGTATGTGTGTGTGTGTGTGTGTATACACACACACACACACACACATACACTTTATCCACTTCTCCGTTGATGGACACAGGATGCTTCCATGTCTTGGCTATTGTAAAAAATGCTGCAATGAATATTGAGGTGCACATATCTTTTTAAATTAGTGTTTTCGTTTCTTCCTGATATACACCCATGAGTGGAATTGCTGAATTATACGGTAGTTCTATTTTTAGTTTTTTGAGGAACTTCCATATTTTTTCCATAGTGGCTGCACCAATGTACCTTCCCACAACCAGAGCACACGTGTTCCCTTTTGTCCACATGCTTGCCAACATTTGTTATTTGTGGCCTTTTTGATGATGGCCATTCTGACAGGTGCGAAGTGATACCTCATTGTGGTTTTTATTCGCATTTCTCAATGGAAGCCACTGACAAAACAAAAAGACAACCTACTGAATGGGAGCAGATATTTGCAAAAACCAATAAGGGGTTAATATACAAAATAGATAAACAGCTCATACAATGTAATATTAAAAAAAAGAAGAAACTGGATTAAAATGAGCAGAAGACATGAATAGACATTTCTCCAAGGAAGACATACAGACGGGTAACTGGCATAAGAAAAGACAGTTGCTGCTTCTTACCACAGGATGTCACCATCGAAAACCTGCCGTCTGCAACAAAGTGATAAAAATGCTGGTCCACTTGGCTGTGATTCTTCACTCATTTTGAAGGGGCTTGAGCCTCTGTGGTCCTGTGAGAGAGGGTGACCTCACCCTCCCAGGCCCAAACTCAGCCAGGAGCACCCCACGCGTAGCTGTATCTCTCAGCGCTCAGCTCTACCATGTGAGGTGTCACCTTCCAACTGCATTAGAGCCCTGGGGCTGGATGGGGCTCTGCAGCTCTCCCAGAACCAAGGTCCTCCTGTCCTATCTGCAGCTGCTCACCTCAAAACATAAAGCGAAGATGACACCCATTTCTCTAGACACCATCACTCACAGCCTCCTGATGAAGGACTTTACAAAAATATCTCCCATGGGGCCCCTGCTATTGACAACTTTGAGAGCTGTTTACCTGGTGACATTGGCCAAAGCTTGTATTTAGTGAATGTGTGGGCGATGAGGGGGACACTGAGGAGGCGGAGAGGCCAGAAGCTTTGGATGATGTTGGGTTTCTGGCTGGTGTGATATGATGGATGGCGGGTCATTCCCTGGGAGGGAGGGTAACAGTGGAGGGTGGAGGGTCATCTGTGCTTTTCGGTTGGTCCCACTGGGCGGTGGCAAGGGCTTTCTGCAGCCCCCTGGCTGTTTAGAGCCTTACCCTGTCGGGCTGAGAATGCACCAGTTTGGTGCAGGGCTCCCAGTGCCTGTCCACAGGAGGGCACTGGGTGAGGGAACTTCCGGGCCCAGAGGATATCACTCCAGCTGCATGATTTTTGGGTGTCATGTTGGCCACTGCGGACCAGGGGCTGTTGTCCGGGGAAGGAGCCCTGGGTCCTGACGCATGACCACGTGTACACAGCTCTGCTGGCGCTGGTGCTCCTGGCGGGGCCTCAGTTCCTGTCTCCCTCCTCTCTCCTCACCTCTAGCTCACGAGCAGAGCAGGGACTGAAGATGAAGGCTTCACAGAAACGTCGTAATCCTCTTCTGCCACATAAGGAATTGGGGATGGGTGCGAAGAGTAGGTCTTGGAACACATTCATGTGGGACAAGCTGCATCTTACATTAAAGGTTATCTCAAGATTCATTAAGAATCTAGTCATGGATGTTAAACATGATATGGGTAAAGTGCATATATTTTATATACGTATATATGTCACACACACACACACAGGTGTGTGCGATTTATTTTGACTCAATACTCACAAAGTTTTATAAACGTGTGTTGAAAATCTCGTTCCTACTCAGATTTTATCCCCCCAGTTCTCCACCCAACTCCACCCCCATAGCGAATGTCCACTTCTACCAAGCTCCTTACACAGCCTTCCCGTATATTTTATGCCAAAATAATCAAATACAAATATACACTGGTGTCTCCCCCCCTCTTTTTTCCACAAGAGTTACATTGAACTCTATTCTGCGCTTTGCTCTTTCACTTCACAATAGATTCTGGGGCTCTTTTATCCCAGCAATGGAAACCCATCCCAGTACGAGCGAACCCTGTGCTCTGGGCACATTTGCACTGCTGAGGACTCAGAGGAAATGGTGGGGACTTGCATTGCTTTTCACAAACAAGTTTGCAGAAAAATGGAGTGTTAATAGCAAACGAGCTGGTCATGTGATTTTGACCACATTGTAAGAAACAAAATTGTGAAAGAAAGGCACACCATTTCTCTGTGGAGAAATAACTATCGATTTATTTGCCATTCACCAGACATTGACAGAGAACATGCACCGTCCAAGGCTTGGCTGGGTGCGGCGGGGCGGGCAAGCAAGGTGGAAGGACCTGGCCTTCCTCTGCCCTGGCCAGGCTGCAGCAACACCCTCCTCCTGATCCTCCTGGCAGCCTTAACGCCCTCTTTACCCATGAGACAGCCTGAGACCTGGGACCAGGACCCTTTGCTGCAGTGCCTGCACCTGGACAAACAGCATCCCATCAATAGATACAAAGAAACTATAAGAGACTAAAAATAACTGCATACATGCGCAGTGGGAGCAAATTATGTACAGTAAGATACAAAAAGAACAAAACCCCAATTGCCACGTCTGAAATGCTCCCTGCATACAACAGGGTGGGCCGACCTGCCTAAGCCGCCCATCTGGCCCCACCCCTGGACCTGACCCCACTCTCACCCCATTTAAGAGACCAGCTTACACATCTCTGAACCCTCAATGTCCAGCATGAAGTAGGGGACCAGCAAATGACGAGTGAGTTGGTTGGTTGACAGCTACTGCTGTTTAGAAGGTAGCGAATGCTCAGGGCTTTAACCTTTTCTCAGGCATCTAATGGGTTGCCCCGGGGCCCCTCTTCAAAGTCCACCACTATTCCCTCCCCTCCCGGGCCCCAGGCACCCATCCCCCTTCCCTGGGGGTCTGGAGAGAACCTTTTTATTTCCCCTGCGTCCCAGTCTTCCAATTCGGGAGGGCATCTCCCGACGTGGAGACTGAGCATGCTCGCGGCCAGGCCGGGCTGGCGAGGGCGGGTGGGCGTCGGGTCCGGCTGCTTGCGCCCCCCACCGGCCGGGCGGGCGAGCGGGCGGAGTTTGGCTCCCGGGCGGCGGGCCCGGCCCCCAGGCTCCGAGCGCCGACTCGCCGCGGAGAGGGCCGAGGCTGGGGGA